TTTTGACATCCCTTTACACTCACCTCCTACTCTTGACACATTTAAGCCTTCACCACTATCTTCAATCTTCAAATATTTCAAATTTGAATATTCCTTGGATTTCACCCCGGTTCGACTTCATCCAAAGTAATAATATCTTCCTTTCCATAAATAAGGGCATTCTTAAAGTGCTCAAAGGATCTGGATAATGAACTCAACAGTAGTAAATCCTTGTCCTTATCATCAATCTTTACTTTAATATTCTCAAGATCATCAATAATCTTGCGAAATTTTGTAAGTTGCTCAACTATAAATTTATGCTCTACCATTCGAAATGAATACAGTTGTTGTTTCAAATACAACCTGTTTGCCAAAGACTTTGTCATATACAATGATTCAATTTTTTCCTACATAGCTACCGTAATTTTACCCTTGGCGACTTCTCTTAGAAATTTATCATCGTGACACAAGATAATGACACTCTTGGCCTTATCTAACATCTCGGTCTTCTGTATCTGTGTAAGTCCTGCAGGCATAAATGCTTCACTCTTCAAAGCATCAATTCACTTCTCTTGAATTAGAATTGCTTGCATCTTAATTTTCCACAACCCGAAGTCGTTGTTACCGAAAAATTTCTCGATCTCCCATCTAACCATGGTGCTCACTTGTAAACAATGCTCTTTGCTCCATGCTCACCACACCACTTGTTGTTAATTACAAATAAATTCAATATCAATTTGTGAGGCAAAAAATAGTAGCAACCAAAATAAATGGTCTACAATAATAATAATTCGTATACAGATAATATAATAGAGTAAGGCGAGAAAAAAAGGTAAAGGTTTATTTACCCAGTTCGATCAAACGATCTACTCCGGAAGAGAGAGAAGCTCTTCAATTTACTATACTCAGAAAGTTTTTACAAGATATTATATATGTGTTAAAAGAAAATAATCTTTCCCTTTAGGTTCCTAAGAGCAACCCTGGACTTCCAAGAATTACCATATTTTCTACCTAAGTATTTCCCGACCTCTTTGGCCTAAATACAAGGTGTAAACAAGTGTTTTCCAATTTCCAATAACCTTAGATAACTCTAAAGGTTTCCAAAACCCTTGCCTTTCTAAGTTTTCCCTTGATAATAGCCAAAACCTTATGATATTCCTTTAAATCCTTATTCTTCCTTGTTGTTGTAAGCTCTAAGATTGTCACACTATAATAACATAAGAGATACATATTTATAATAGCCAAAATCCAACAAATCCATAAAAAATCCCAAAATATATCTCCTTAATTGTTAGAATAAAAGATAATATTATAATCTTATAATATCTCTCAAATATTATAAATATATTATAATATCTCTTAGACTATTATATATATATATATATATATATATATATATATATATATATATATATATATATATATATATATATATATATATATATGTGTGTGTGTGTGTGTGTGTGTGTGTGTGTGTGTGTGTGTGTGTGTGTGTGTGTGTGTGTGTGTGTGTGTGTGTGTGTGTGTGTGTGTGTGTGTGTGTGTGTGTGTGTGTGTGCGTGTGTGCGTGCGTGCGTGCGTGCGTGCGTGTGTGTGTGTGTGTGTGTTATATAATATCTTTTAGACTACTATAATTATATATCTTATAATATCTTTTAGAATATTATATATATATCATATAATATATTTTTATATTAATTTATATGATCTCCAAATTAGTATAAAATATTTATAACATTAACGAATATATTTTGGTGTGATTTAAGAATTGGCGTAAAGTTTATATTTAAATTTAAATTCAACCCCGTTCCATGAATGATTAATGGACCAGATCATATGATTGTTATAGAAATAAATGGTCAGGTGCAAAAGACATGGAAGAAATTTGGGAGCTAAAGGCTCTGTCAAATCTGATTGTTCAACTTAAAATCAGAAAATTCTCTATCAAAAATAATTGTAACAATTCTCATTCAAAGCTGACCGTTCAAAAAGAATGACATGTCAATTTAAAGTTTTTAAATAAAAAATATAAATTTTATAGTGCCAAAAAAAATATTAACACCAAGCTATAAGCCCGACCCAAATCGAGTCGAGTTGAGCCGATCAAACAGAATGACATAGCACGAATGGTTATAATTATTTATATTGCTCCATCAGTTATAAAGTGGGTGACATTCCCACCTGCCAATTAAAAACATGGATAGGGACACACACATGTGCTAGTGTTTTAAATAACAGATATGCCAATTCTAAGTGGGTAACAAAGTTAGTGGTTGCAAAAAGAAAGTCCATATATAAGGTGAAAGTCTTTGAGATTATTTCTGAGCTATGGATGAAGTATTTTGTGGGTATCACCAAAGGTAAGGCATGGAGGGATAAGACAATGGATGATGAAGTGGTTGAAGGGGATGCAATAAAGCAATATTCCATGTTATGGAGCTATACTGCAGAGTTAAAAAAGAAATGTGTTGGGAATACAATTAAGATTGACATTGAGAGGACACTTCCAAGTTTTCCACCAACATTTGAGAGATTCTACTTTTGTTTTGATGGATGCAAGAACGGGTTTATTAAAGGTTATAAACCTTTCATTGGAGTTGATGGGTGCCACCTCAAAACAAAGTATCATGGACAGTTGTTGGTTGTTGTTTCTAGTGATCCAAATGATCAATACTACCCTTTGGCATTTGGTTTAGTTGAGACAAAAATAAAAGACAATTGGAGGAGGTTTTTAGAGTTACTTCTTCAAGATATTGGTGCAGAAATGTTTTATATCAGATCAACAGAAGTTACTTTGAATTTGTTTCATTTAACTATTGCTTCTATTTATTTTTGTATATAATTGTTGATTCTATTAATTTTTTTGTAGAGACTAGTAATTGTATTTGAAGAGATGTTTGAACAAATTGAACACATGATATGTCTTAGGCATCTGTATTCTAATTTCAAGAAGAAGTTTGGAGGTGGATCTGTAATAAGAGACTTACTAATAGGAGCTGCAAAAGCTACTTATTATCAAGCATGGGAGAAGAAGATGATTGAGCTAAATATATTGGACAAGAAGGCATGGGAATGGCTGATGGGAGTACCTACAAAACTATGGTGTAAGAAATCTTTTAGATTTTACCCAAAATGTGATGTCTTAATGAACAATCTTAGTGAGTCTTTCAATAGCACTATTTTACAAGCTAGGGATAAGCCAATCCTCACAATGTGTGAGTGGATTAGGAATTATCTTATGAATCTGGCTGCTACAAATTTAGTTAAACTAGATAAATGTAAACATAATGTTATGCCAATACCTAGAAATAGACTAGATAAAGAGGTGATATTTAGTGGCTAGTGGCTGCCAACATGGAGTATGGGTCAGGTTTGACAAGTTGATCATCCAGTTAATAGGCTACAATTTGTTGTGAATATTGGGAAAAAATCTTGCTCATGTTGCTTTTGGGAGCTAGTTGGCATACCTTACAAACATGTTATGTCATCCCTGCATTATCAATATCTAAATCCATAATTGTATGTTGATGACTATTAAAAGAGTGAGGCATGTAAATTGTGTATGAAAATAATGTAAGCCTAATCAATGGAAATGACATGTGGCAAAATATGGAAGTTGAAAACATGTTACCCCTAATGTATAAGAAGGGTCCTGATAGGCCAAAACAATTAAGGTGGAGGGAGCATGATGAAACAGGCTCAAGGATGAGGAGGCCTGGTGTGGCATATAGGTGTAGAAAGTGTGATAAATTTGGGCACAATTCAAGCAAATTCCAAAGCATAGTTCAAGACACTAATGCATTGAAGAGAAATGTATATTTGATTATAATTGTTAGTTTATTGCACCAACTATTTTTTTTTCAAATATTGGATATGAATTATCATGGTTGATTGTGGTTGTCCGTGTGTAGAGAAAAAAACCCAGAACCAAGGGTGAGACCTCAAAACATCAGAAAACTACAACTGAGGGTGAGACCTTAACACCTACTGTTGAAGATGATATCTATGATCCAAAAATGGATATCATAATTGAAGACATGGTTGCCTCTTATGATCAATCTATTGAAGGTACTTCTTAGTCACTTTCTAATGAAGGTGCTTCTCACTCACTTCTTATTGAAGTTGCTTCTCAACTAAAAGGTACTCAAGATGCTCAACAATATCAAGTAATTAATCCTACACCAAAGAAGAAGAAAATTGGAAAGAGATATCTAGTTGGAAAGAAGAAGAAACCACAAGCACCTTCAAGGATTAGTGAAAGGCTAAAAACTATCTCCAGATAACAAAAATGTGGTGGCCGATGTTCAACTACTGATGCACCATTGGAAATTAAGGAACCTATTGTTGATGCACCATTGGAAATTGAGGATCCTCCCGTTGCTTCCCAAGTAGACCCCAAACTAGGGACATGTGTGCATTTGATGAAATTATGGGATGAGATATTTAAGAAATTGTCCAAGTAATATGTAACTCTTGTGTATTGTCTGTCATTTTGGAAGTGTCGTGTTGTGTAATTTTGTGTATTTTTTGTCATTATCGAAGTGTCATGTTTGGAACAACAAGTGTAATGCACACTATGTGTTGTTTTTTAAACTACTTGGAATCCTTATTTTGTAATTTGGAACGACTACTTGTAATGTACAATATGACATTATGCCTTTATTTAAATATGGAATCCTTTATTCTGTAGAAGATACTTTTACTGTCATTATGATGTCTATCAAGTTATATGAACAAGGCACAATGTTGTTTATCAACAATGCTTATTTTTTCATTCAATTCAAATCGACCATAATTCATAATAAACAAAGTCAGGTATATTATCAACAATGCTTGTTTATTCATTCAATTCAAATCAACCATAATACATAATAAACCAACTCAAATATATTGTCAACAATGATTGCTTTTTTATTCAATTCAAATCAACCATGTTGTTAATACAAGACATCACAATGTTGTTGACATAAGACATCACAACACAACTTTTTACATGAATTAGACCTAATACAATACAACTTTCAGGCTGCTAAAACTAGGACAAAGTAAACCCAAGAACAAATAAGTACTACAATTACAAAAGCAAACTTCTTCCTTGTGTTGTCTAACTTGTTATTCATATCTTCCATCTCCTTGGAACACATATTTGAACCAAATTCCCTCCCGAAATCGCTGCCAGATTTTCTCAAATACTCTATCATCACATCACATCTATTGCATCCATCATCATCTTCTAGAATTCCTTTCCTATCACTTGCACAAAAGTATTCATCATCCCAATAAAATAATTGACAATCTTCTTCTTTTCCCCAAAATTTGTACTTCCAATATTTTCTCCCTAGATTTATAGTAGATTTTGAAACGAACACCTTCATTGAAAGACCGTGTCCATATTTGGGAGTGAATCTAGCATTAAATGACATGCTATTCTTTGAACTTCCAGCCATTGATGATGTTTACGTTGTTCTTCAAATCTTCAAATTCAAACAAGCATGTGAACTATACATCATGCAGTGAGAAGGCGCAAGATTGATAGCGAATAACAAGGAATGGGAATAAGGAAGACAACGTAGGATTGGAATTCGAAGGAAGAAGACGACCAAGAGCAATTGGGAATTAGGGTTATGAAAAGTAAAACATTTCTTTAACTGGTTTTAATAATTAATTAAAATGAACAAATGACATGTAGAAATAAAATAAAATGAAAATAAGTAACATTTACAACGTGTCAATGTCACATTAGAATATTTGATGATTTGGTTTAATGAAGGACTGGATCAGGAAAATTTATATATGTTAGGGTGAGAATTTAAATTTTTTTATAGAAAATTTCAAATATCGCACAAATAGCATAGACAAATTAACTATTAATCCTTATAAATATATAGTGTAATATTTTAATTTGAGTGTCCATAAATCATAACTAATTTAGAAAATGGGTTTTGATTAAGTAACATTAATTTTAAAAACATTGTAACAAATAAATATCTTGTTGAGCGGGTTGTTAAATTGTAATCCAATGTGTCGAAACTATGTGTCGAAAAGATTTGATTTGTTTTAGATTTAAATAGATTTGATTTAAGTCTAGAATAAATTAGATTTGATTTAGTAACAAAAAGATATTTTGGGCTTTGGGCTTAGGGTGTAAGCTCAGTTATAAATAGAGGGAGTAACCCCTATTTTTTGTAAGCAAGTCAAGCAAGTTGTATTCACAGAATTTGCAGTTGCAAGTGAATAACAAAGTTTTCACAATTTGTGAGCAGAGAGAAACTCTGCAGAAATAATTTGTCTTGTCTTCTTTTCTTTGTTTGTCTCATAATTAAATTGTCATTGTGGTAGAAATTCATCATAGAATTTGGTGGATTTCCAACATCTGGTATCAAGAGCTTTGTTTCGATTCGAGGGAAGTGTCAATCAAGAACGATTGAAGAATTCACGATGACAAGTTATGGAAATGCAAACTATCCAGCAACGCTACCAATTCTGAAAGTTGACAACTATGAGAATTGGTGAAAACAAATGAAAGTCTTATTCAGGTGTCAAGGTCTTTGGGACCTTGTAAAAGTTGGAGTCGAAGCGCTTGGAGAAAACGCTTTAGAAGAAGAAAAGAAGAAATACATAGAATCTGAGAAGCTGAGTTATAAAGCATTATTTATAATTCATCAATGTGTCATCCCAGACAATTTCGAAAAGGTTAGTGATTCAAAATCTGCAAAAGAAGCTTGGGAAATTCTTGAGAAGTCTTTTGGAGGCGCTGAGAAAGTGAAAGAAGTGAGGTTACAAACTCACAAAAGGACCTATGAACTGCTTCACATGGAAGACAGTGAAAGTATATCTGATTTCTTCACTAGAGTTACAAAACTAGTAAATCAAATCAAGATATGTGGAGAAGCGTTAACAACAAGAGCTGTTGTGTCGAAGATCTTGAGATCTTTAGCTCCTATGTTCGACCACATAGTGGTGGCGATAGAAGAGGGGAAAGACTTGTCGAAATTGACAAAGGAAGAGCTTCAAGGGACGCTTTAATCTCATGAACAAAGAATGAACGAAAGAGCTACAGGAAAATCGAAGATTGATGTGGCCTTGCAGGCACATTCAGCAAAAGAGACCAAAGGCAAAGGAAAGTGTTTCGACAGAGGTAGAGGTGACTACAACAAATCGAATGGTATAGGAAACCAGATTGAAGGAAACATGTCGAATCAAAGAAGACCATACCAAGGCAACCAAAGAGGTGGTGGTCGAAAACATGATAAGAGTCACATTCAATGTTACAATTGTCAGAAGTATGGACACTATGCAAGTGATTATCCAGAAAAACAAAAGAATCAAGAAAGTGATGCAAAGCTTGCAAAACATGAAGAAGAAGAAGAAGAGATGATGATGATGGTCACAACAAGAGATGAAGATAGATTCAAGGACCAATGGTACTTGGATTCAGGATGTTCATCACATATGTCTGGAAGGAAAGACTGGTTCGTCAATATAAAACCCTCAATGAAAAATATGGTAAAATTTGTAAATGACAATACCCTAGCAGCTGAAGGTATTGGTGTTGTTATGATCATGAGGAAAGATGGCAAGAGGTCAGTAATTTCCAATGTATTGTACATACCAGGCATGAAGAGCAATTTGCTTAGTATAGGGCAATTGGTCGAAAAGAATTATAAAGTGTCAATCGAAGATAAGATGATGAGAATCGTTGATGCAAATGGGAGAGTAATCTTGAAGGCTCCTATGTCTCAGAATCGAACTTTCAAGATTGAACTAAATGTGATGGAGCACAAGTGCCTTTCAACTGCAGCTAGAAGAGATGAATGGATATGACATTATAGACTAGGCCATCTCAACTTCAGAGACATCAGAGATTTGAAGAGAAGAAATATGGTTTAGGATTGCCAGAAATTGACATTCCAAACGAGGTATGTGAGGAATGCGTGCAGGCGAAACAACACAAGAATAGCTTCAGCAAGGATGCAGGAAGCAGATCGAAGGCTAGTCTTGAAGTCATATACTCTGATGTATGTGGACCAATCCAGGTGGATTCGATGGGAGGTAACAAATACTTTGTTACATTCATAGATGGTTTCAGTCGAAAGCTATGGACTTACCTGATCAAGAAGAAAAGTGAAGTGATCAAAGTATTTACCAAGTTTAAGTCTATGGTCGAAAGACAAAGTGGTCGAAAGCTCAAAGTTTTGAGAACAGATGGTGGTGGAGAATATGTGTCGAAAGACTTCGACAAATTATGTGAAAAGGAAGGGATTGTGCATGAGGTGGTACCACCCTATACTCCACAACAAAATGGAATTGCAGAAAGGAAAAATCGAACCATCACGAATATGGTGAGAAGTATGTTGAAAGGCAAGAATTTACCTAAAGATTTTTGGGGTGAAGCTGTTTCGACTGCAACATACATTTTGAACAGATGTCCTACAAAGAAGCTAGAAGGAATTACTCCAGAAGAATGTTGGTCTGGTGTGAAGCCTAGCTTGAGTCATCTGAAGGTATTTGGATCTATTGCACATAGACATGTGCCAAATCAGTTGAGAAGAAAACTTGATGATAAGTCAAGTCAAATGATTCTAGTTGGATATCATTCGACAGGAGGCTACAAGTTGTTCGATCCAGTGAAAAAGCAGATTGTGATCAGCAGGGACGTGATCATAGATGAGTTTAAAGAATGGGATTGGACTGGTAATGTCAAGAAAGATTTAGTGGGAATCCTTCTTGAAGAGCCAGAAACTCAAGTCGAAAGAGAAGTTCGACAAGAGGAACCAACAAATATACCAAGTACAAGCAGGCCTCAAAGAACAAGACGCATGCCTGCAAGATTGCAAGATTGTGTGATTACATCAGATGATGTAATAGATAATGAAGGTGAGCTGGTACATTATGCTTTCTATGCAGATGTCGAACCCGTTAATGCAGCTGAAGTATTAAAGGATTCGAAGTGGGTGAAAGCAATGAACGAAGAAGTAAAGTCTATCGAAGACAACAACACTTGGTCACTTGTCCAATTGCCTCAAGGCAAGAAGGCAATTGACGTCGAGTGGGTATACAAAGTGAAAACGAATTCGAAAGGTGAAGTAACTCGACACAAAGCAAGACTTGTGGCGAAAGGATTTCTACAGAAAGAAGGAATAGACTTCGATGAAGTTTTTGCACCTGTTGTAAGGATCTAAACAATCAGGTTAGTTGTTGGTCTAGCAAAAATAAACAGTTGGCACATGTGTCAGATGGACGAGAAGTGTGCATTCCTAAATGGACCCTTAGATGAAGAAGTCTATGTTAAACAACCAATTGGGTTTGTGAAACATGACGAAGAAAGAAAGGTGTACATGCTACATAAAGCCCTGTATGGATTGAAACAAGCTCCAAGGGCTTGGAATAATAAAATTGATAGTTTTCTAAGGGAGAAGGAATTTGTGAAGTGCACAACTGAATATGGAGTATATGTAAGAAGAAGCAAGAGTAAATTGCTTATACTATGTCTCTATGTAGATGATTTGTTGATAACAGGTAGCTGTAAAAGTGAGATCGAAGACTTCAAAGGTGATCTCAGCAAGGAATTCGAAATGTCTGATTTGAGTGAGATTTCATATTTCCTTGGTATCGAATTCTACAAGAGCAGTAGAGGTTTGATGATGCATCAAAGAAGATATGCAGGAGAAATTCTCAAGAGGTTTGAGATGGAAGAATACAACTCAACTTCGACATCTGCAGAACCAAGACTGCAACTGTCAAAAGATGCAGATGAAGATGATGTTGATCCAACCCAATACAGAAGACTTATTGGATCATTGAGATACCTTTGTCATACAAGCCCTGACTTAGCATATAGTGTAGGTATGGTAAGTAGATTCATGCAGAAGCCAAATGTATCACATCTAGCAGCAGTAAAGAGGATACTAAGGTATCTCAAAGGAACTTTCGATTATAGCATTTTGTTTCCTGCAGTTGATAAAGGAAAAGAATGCAAGTTAGTGGGATACACTGATTCGAGTTGGTGTAGTGATGCTGAAGATCGAAAGTCAACAGCAGGATATGTGTTTATGCTAGGTGGTGTACCAGTTGCTTGGAATTCAAGAAAGGAACCAGTAGTGGCATTATCATCATGCGAAGCAGAATACATAATTGCTTCTCTTTGTGCATGTCAAGCAACTTGGATGGTAAACTTGGTCGAAGAGATAACAGGGAAAATCATGGAGCAATTACCATGAAGATAGACAACATGTCAGCTATTAATCTAGCGAAGAACCCAATAGCACACGGTCGAAGTAAGCACATCGAAATGAGGTTCCATTATCTTCGAGAGCAAGTAGCAGATGGGAAGATAAATTTGGAACACTGCAGAATTGAGAATCAGATTGCAGACATCACGACGAAGGGAGTGCAAGTCAAAGTATTCAGAAAGCTAAGAGCTATGATGAACATAGATAGTTTAGAC